ACAACGGCTTTATTTTTAGACGGCCTGTCTGAACAAGTCCCAGCTGCCAGTGTCCCTTATGCCTCTCTTTTCTTGTCTCAACAAGCTCCGACTGCCAAGTGCCAATGGAACACGTGCTGTGTCGCGATTGTCCACACAACGCAGCAGGCATGGAGAACATCTTGTCTGTTGTTGTTGTTGTTTTTCGTTCCCGGGGTGTGTGTCTGTGTGATTTGTGTGCGCTATTCACAATTTCGCACTTTTATCACCCTCTCCGAGCCTCTCGTCTCTTTTCTTGGCGTGTCGGCAGCAGCGCACGTGCTACATTGCATTTATTATGACAACGCAGCAGACATGGACAACGCGTTCTGTCTGTGTGTGTTGTTCTATGCACTGTCCACATTGCTATTGCCCCCTCACCCTAGCTACTCAGTGCCTCGCCGCACCACTCACCAAACATGAAAAAGACAAAAATATGGTGGGTGTATCTTTGCACGTTCTAGCGGAATATTCATTCTCGTTCTGCGCATTTGGTGCATGGTGCAGCCAGGCCCTCAGTCATGTTAGTTATGAATGTCCCAGCTGTCGCGGTGCACTCGCAATCGCCGTCAGCACTTTTTTCCCAACGGTGTCTCACACTGGATTTCCTCCAACTGCACGTGGGAGCTCACTGTGATCGCGGCAATTATTACAGTGTGTCCTGAACGTATCTGACCGTAATTACATCCAGAAACCTTTACAAAACAAGGGCCGGGGAAGGGGGCCAGTTGGGATGCATGTGTGTCTCCCAAAGTCATCACGACACTGGACAGTTGCACGCCCACTGCATCAGCACTTCCTTTGTTTTTTGTTGTTCCATCCTTCTTTCGATTTCCTTTGTTGTTTTTCCAGGAGGGGGAGGGGTGGGGGAGGGGTGGAGGTGCGGGTGAGTTGGGGAAGGTGCGGGTAAAGGGGTAAAAGGGAATGAATTGCTGGCACTGCTGGGCAGCGGACGATGGCTACATTCTGACGACTGTTCAAGACGGCTGAGAGAGGAAGAGAGAATGACACAGTCGGTGAAGATTGTGTCTTTTTATGTACTTCCCACCGAAGTTCTCTTTTTTTCAATCACCTAATGAGTCAGTAATGACACCATTTCTTTTGTATTTTTCCCCCAACGTTTTCCGTGTCTCTCTCTCTCTCTCTCTCGTTATAGAGGTTCAAGCTTGTCCCTCTTATTTCCTTTCTGGTGGATCATGCATTGCACCTGGACCTAACTGTTGCTGGTTTGGACGACCCCCATGCCGATGCACAAGCGGGTTCTGCAGAACGGGCTTGGGCCAACTTTGTGGATAGCCTTCGATACTTTTTTTGGTGTTGGTGAACTTGGTGTGTGTTTTTTTATGGACGAGTCTTTTTTTGGGTGTGTGTTTGCTGCTGGTTGGTCTGATACCATTCTTCCTTTCCCGGTTGCTTTCTGTTCCGTGCTCAACTTGCCAGTCAGGCTTCTTTTTTTTTTTTTTTGGGTGTACAATTGTGATGGTTGGTTTGATAACATTACTGGTTGCTTTCTGTTCCGCGCTCAACTTGCAGGTTATGATTCGTAGGAGTGGTACGATGCAGTTCTGCGACCACGGCAATCCCACGGACATTGTGTGCGTCAATGGAGATGGTCTGTAGTCCGTGCCCGCCCATCTTCCCCCTTCCTCCTCCTCCTCCTGCTTGCCCTGGGGAAGAATAAGTAGAAATGATGCCGTCTGTACTATTTCCTGTCTGAAAAAGGGGTCGACTTTGCTTTTTCCGACGTCGCATTGCGGTTTGCCAACTTTGCTGCGGGCATATATTGTCGGGGGCTTTGCTGACTTTGCTAACTTTGCTGACTTTGCTGACTCTGCTGACTTTACTGCGGGCGTATATTCTCGGGGGCTTCGCTGACTTTGCTGACTTTGCTGACTTTGCTGATTTTGCTGCGGGCATATATTCTTGGGGGCTTTGCTGACTTTGCTGACTTTGCTGACTTTGCGGATGTATGCGGCAGCTTGCCGACGACATGGCCGACTCTGGCGACTTTGCTGACTTTGCTAGCCATGTGGTTGCCTTGCTGTTGTCTGTGGTCACTTTGCTGACTTTGCTGACTTTGCGGAATTTACTGACGACTTGGCTGACTTTGCTAGCTCTGCCGTTTTGGGGGGTGAAGTTGGCTCTCTGCTTTTGCGGATTTTTTTGGGAGCTGCTTCATCTGACTCTCTACCGTCATCAGATATTGCAGCCTTTGTAAAAACTCCTTGCTTTGCCACTAAGTTTGCCAACTTCACCTTTTTTTTTTTTTTTTTTTTTTTTTTTTTTTTTTTTTTTTTCCCCCCTTTTTTTATTTTTTTTGGGTGAAGACGGTTAGCTGTTCTCGTTTTTTTTTTTTTTTTTTTTTTTTTTTACCCTTTTTGAAAGGGACATGCTCCTATCTTTTCGTGGGGAGCAGCACGTGCTGCGAAACGGGCCCAGCGTCTCATTCAAGATCTCGTTGAAAAAATGAGAAATTTATGAAGAAATCCTTGAGATACCGGGGCCAAAAGACAACTGCGTAATCGGTTAGCTGCTCTCATTGTTAATGTACTTCCTTCTTTACTCTTTAGAGTCTTTACCAACCTACCACCACCTTTATTCAGAGCTGTTATGTTGCTTTTTTTTTTTTTTAACATATTTAATATCTATGGGATTCCAAAGAGTTGTCAGTAAAACATAAATCGCCTTGGCAGCGGACTTTATATATAGTAGTAGAATAATAAATTAATAATAATAGTATCTATGTGCGATGTACAGTGAACCCTTCATTTCGTACTTGCAACTGCACCGTGTGCCGTACCAACCGCGCTTTTTTTTTTTTTTTTTTTTTTTTTTTTTTTTTTTTTTTTTTTTTTTTTTTTTTTTTTTTTTTTTTGGTTGTTTTTGTGGATGCAGAGGAGTGCACCACGTTACAGTCACACATATTTTTCTTTTCGTCCAATTGGGCATGAGAAATAGCCTGAAATAGGTAGGTGTCTAAGACATCAGTCTTGTCCGTCAGGTGGTAGGGACGGTACTTCCCACCAAAAAACTTTGGAAAGGGGGACCTATCTGGGCTGGCGATCTGTAGAGATCAGTGGGTCTAGATAGGCCGCGCTTTTCAAGCCTTTTTGGTGGACCTACCGGACCTGGTCTGTGATTCTTTTTTGGGCCAGGAGACCTCCACGGTCTGCGAGACACCCCAGATTGGATGCACTACAGCCCCTTGGTGCTCGTCACTGCTGTCTTGTCCAAGTTGCCCTCGATACTAGTAGGGTGAAGGTCCTGAGTGCTGGTCACACTGAGGTAGGATAGTAGGGATAGGGGGTGTGCTTGGAGTATTAACCTGGGGAAGGGTAGGGAAGGTGGCCTATCCTGTCAGGACAACCAGCGGCTGCCACTTCCAGCGATCACCCTGGGTCTAGTCCTTGGCCTCTACAACACCTTGGGCTACGGCCAACCGGGCAGAACGGGCCCGGTCGACAGACGGGTACGACTGGTCCAGTTCCGGTTGGGGGAGGGGCCCCCGGTCCTACCGGGTTTACAGCACCGAGTCAGATACATTTAGGGAAGTCCTAGTGTGAGTATGCCCTCTGATGGAGTCAATAATGTCAAGAGGGCTACCCCCTTTTCAAAACGGAAAAAAAAAAAAAAAAGTTTGCTAATGCCTGCTGTGTTTGATCTCTGCCTGTGTTTTTTATTTTTATTTTATTTTTATTTTATTTTCCTGTCTGTGGCTTTCTACGCGTGAAGGGTTGTGTTTCCACCTTGCGCCCCAAGCTCCTGCAACTACGAAAAGTTCTACGAGGCGTCCGACGCGAGACTCGGCTGGAAGGTAATGCCGCTATGTTAACCGTCATCATGAAATAAATTCACAATCAATTTTGTCTGATTTATCAGTAATAATGGGTAATTTAAATTTTGAATTTTGAAATAAGTTTACCCGATGGAATATTTGCCTGAAATAATTTTACCTGATATAATATGTGCCTGTCTTATTGCGTTGAATTATTTCACACTGTCAGGTTGTTCGGTTCCTGTGGTAAGGTATTTACTATTTACTATTTAATAGTATTTATTAATTAATATTTATTAATTATGCAACATACTGCATTCACATTGATCAACTTCCTCTCCGCGTTTCGACCATGGTAATTGGATCCGCAAGTTACATTTACCATGGTTAATGTGACTGCCTTAGCATGGTAACCGTTAGTCTCCTTCGCTTTGCGCGATGAATGATGCCACCAATCGAAAACACCCGATGATGATCCCGATCGTGGAACGCACTGCGCACGGCCCAGTGCTGCACAACTACAAACTAACGTCCAGCTGAGTGTACCTCCAAGAAGAAGAAAAAGAAGATCGCACAAGAGAGGTTTGAAGAGCGCGGTGAAGGTCCAGAGGGAAGGAGAAACCCTGCGCACGGTCATCTCTCCACCTTTGCTTTGTCTTCGTACTACGAACCGTGTTATACTAAGATTGTTGTACAAACTTTGGTGTACAAACGTTGTACGGAATTTGCTATACTTGCTTTGCTATACTTGCTTTGTGGTACTAGCTTTGTTGTATTAACTTTGTCATACTAACAGTAATGGTTTTGTGCTAACGTGGTTGTACTAGCGTTGTTCTACGAACTTTGTTGTACTATCATTGTGCTAACTTTGTACTGCGAACTTTATACTACGAACTTTGTACTACGAACTTTGTACTACGCACTTTGTACGAACTTTGTACTACGAACTTTGTACTATGAACTTTGTACTATGAACTTTGTACGAACTCTGTACTACGAACTTTGTTCGAACTTTGTACTACGAGTTTTGTACGAACTTTGTACGAACTTTGTACGGACTTTGTACGGACTTTGTACTGCGAACTTTGTACGAACTATGGACGAACTATGGACGAACGTTGTACTGACTTTGTCAGAGAAGAAGAGAGACCTCAATTGCTGACTAGATAAATGCGGTGTTCAGATTACGATGACATCATTACAATTTACAATCATTACATGCAATAATCAGTTAATCATGGTAACGAATGATTAATCCGGAAGAAACGAGCGAAGCTGAAACCCAAAATACCTGTCTTCTCACTCACGACTGCCGACCTTTCCCCATTTCTGACGTTATCTGGGCCATTGTTCTCTGGCTGGAAGGGGAGAAGCGGGATGTCTATGCATCTGACGACTTCACGGTGGCAGATTTGAATACCAAAGTTTTGTTTCTTGCGCCATTGGGAAGGAGCCCGCATCTTCCCCC